GGGGATAGACCCAGCCCAGAAAATTCTGCCATTGTTCTGAGCCCTATGTAAGGCCCATGGTTCCCCTGGGGCCAGCTTCTTGGAGGACTTTTGAGGTGATATCCTGGGAGCCTCTGAGGGGCCCCTCTTTTTGTGAGGACTACCCAGGCTTGGGATTCACCTGTTGGGCAGCTATGACCTTACTCACATTAGCTCATAACTCCCATTCAGTTGGGTTCCCTACCCCCTCTCAGGGCTGGAGGTCAAACCCAAGGCCTTGCACATGCTAGGCGAGCACTCTTTCACAGAGCAACACTCCCATCGCCATCTTCCTTTTTTGAGACAAGGTTTCAGTAAGTTCCCCAGGCTTGCCTTGAACTTGGGATCCTCCTGCCTTGGCCTTCTGCACAGCTGGGATTACAGGGATGCACTGCCACTGCCTGTCAGCTAGGCATTTTTGATGTGTCTTAATATGTCTGACTTTAATTTCTGGGCCAAGGGCAGATCCTTCTTGCTTCCAGGAAGGAAGTTTTGGGGATCATTAAAGAAACGCAGGCTTCCCCAGCCCTCCTGTTTCATCTCTAATGGTTTCCTCTACCCATAGGGATGAGGAGCTCACAGCTGTTAAGAAGCTAAACACAGTTCAGCAAGGAAGGTTGGTGTCACCTTTGGCCTAGGCAGCAACCTGACAATCATAAGCTTTCATCTTGTAAATGTCATCACAGAAACTCAGGGCTGGTTTTTAAGTTTGCTTGGGTAGGGGTGGCAATGAAACTGAGGCTAGCCTGGAAGACAGTGTGCGGTGCAGGAATGAGAATTGGGAATTTCTCCTCCTTCCTCATTCTGACTCCGGCTACTGCCGCTGCCAGCCTCTCAGCCCTCATCATTTATTCCGTGAATTTTCTATACTTGGAAATACTTTTGGGGAAAATTTTCCACACTTAGAAAGTCATTAACCCTGAATCTCTAATCCATACATTTTTCCATGCCTGTTTTCGACACGTGGAAAGGTTTGTCAATGAGAATGGTCACTTTCCATACTGCTGGGTCAGGGAGACACAGAAAAATTCTCTGTGCCCAGAGTTCGGGCCTCTGGGGAGAGTGGCCCACGATGCCTTTTCAGGTCACTAGCAGCGGCTTTTGGAGGGCTGGGCCCAGGTTCTGTTGTCTGTCTTTCTGTCCTTCCCTCGTTCATGATGAAAATAAGTAAGCCATGTGAACAAGTCAGATGAACAAGATGAACAAGAGGGGTTTTTTTTTGGTAGTTTTTTTCTTATTTTATTTCCCATGACAAAAACATGTAGATTAAAAAATAAAATACAAAGGAAAAGGAAGGCACCCAGATGTCCCACATCTCAGACAAAATCACCATGAACACCTATGAACGAGTTCCTCTTCCCCAGTTGTTGGGAACACAGGTGTGTACACAGGTGTTGGGAACACAGGTTGTGAACACAGGTGTGTTTTGTGAGTTCACTTCAGGTGCTGGGTCCACATGATCTCCTCAGCCACTCTCCTGATGCTCCTCCCACTGTGGCCCAGCCTGGGTGTGGACAGCATGGCTGTGTAGCGTGTACTCTGCCACATGCACCAGTGTGTCATCCCCGGAAGCTGGCTACCCTTGGGGCTCCCAGGTCCTCTCCCATCAAACGGGAGTAATGACAACATCTGCATCACATGGGGAGTTTCAAGGATTAAATGAGTGAACACATGTAAAACATTTACAGCTACCTGTGAGAGCTCAGCTAAGTGGAGTCATCTACCATCTCTTTTTTAGAACTATTATGCTCAGAGAAGCCAGGACTTGGTTGAGATGCCATAGACATTAACTGACATAACCAGGTTGGAAACTTAAATCTCTTCTGATCCAGATAAGGTGTGGTATGATGTGTGAGTGAGAGAGAGACAGAGAGACAGACAGACAGACACATAGACATGCAGAGAGACACAGACAGACTGAGAGTAGACAGGGGGAGAGCCACACTTCTTGCCCTTCATTCTATTTTATGAGCCTCTTTTGGATATTGTATGATACCCTAGCCATGGATGTAAGATGCAGAGGAGCTTGCACAGCTTCATTGAGAGCGGGCTGTTCAAGCATAGGAATCCCTCGGCTCTTGTTAACTTGCATATGCTGAAGGCATAGGTCAGGATAGGGCTGGAACTTGTACCTTCTAACAGGCCCCACGATTTTCATGCTGCTGGTGTGGGAACCACGCTGTGGTGTTGTTTCTGAGAATTCTGGCCCAGGGTTTTACTTCCTCCTGCACCTCCCTGCTTATGTTTACACAAGTCTGACACTCAGTCCACCCATGTGCTTCATCACAACATCAGAGCTCCTAGGAGGGGCCCCAGCTGGAGCACAGGTGGGCCCACCTGGGAGTGCTTAGTCACACCTATCCGGCTCACCAGTCTCAACACTGTGGGCTTCTGCACAAACAGCCAGGACTGAGATTGATCCCATTTGTCTGAAACACTTCAGGTGGGACACTTGCAATTAGAGTTCTGGAGAAAAATGTTTGTTCTGGCATGGCAGGGAGTATGGGAAGGTGTGGAGGGAGAGCTGGTGAGAGATCTTCTACCTCCCACCAACAGGCCACAGGGACACTGAGTCCTTCCACTCCCAACCCTCTGTGGCCTTGTTGCCAACTCTATCATCTTTCATGCCCACAACAATATAAACCACTACTTTCTCAAGTTTTCCATATAGCATCATCAGGAAGCCCAACCTTCAGGCAGGTTTGGGGTTTTTTTGTTCCAAGGGTTTCATGTGCTGGGAGCTTGGTCCCCAGTGTAACAATGTAAGAAGTGGCAGAACCTTTAACAGATGAGCCTAGTGGGAGGTCCTAACGTCAGCTGGGGGCATGTCCTGAGAACAGACTGTGGGACCCCAGCCCTCTTCCTGTTTCAAGATGTGATCCTTCCCTATGTGCTCCACTATCCACCATGGAGCTGGTTCCATACTGCCCGGACCTTCAGCCTTCAAAATTGACCTAATTAATCACCTTTTCTTCATAAGTAGCCTGCCTCAGGTATTTCATTACAGCAACAAAAACCAGACAAATACCCAGGCTATCCTTCAGAAAGTAAAGGATGTTCCACTTGAACACCATCTGTAGAAATTTCCAGGTAGGAGTCAGAGAATGTGAGAGACAAACTAAGAATTGTGAGTGTGCTGCTCTAACAGAAAACCACAGACATGGTAATTTATAAAGAACGGAGATTTATTTCTCATAGTTCTGGAGGCTGGGAAGTTCAAGACCCAGGGGCTGGCATCTGGAGAGGGCATTTTGATACATTATCCCATGACAGAAGGCAAAAGGGCAAGACAGTACACCTGAGCATGAGAGAAAAGAAGGACAAACTTATCCTTTCATCAAGAACCCACTCTGTTATGACCAGTCCAGGGACAATGGCATTAACCCTTTCATGAGAGCAGAACCCTCATCATTTATCACTTCTTAAAAAGTTGCATTGGGGATTAAATGTCCAACACATGAACTTTGGGGAATACCCTGGAACCATGGCTGTGTACTTTTGTGAGTGCAACAGTCTTAGCCTCCCAAACCCAGGCACAATGGAAAATTCTATCTCAGAAAGATCCTTTCCAGTGATATTTCCATGACACAACCAGCCTTTTACTCAGTTGTTTTGCCCAACAGATAACAGATAGGTCCTGACAAAACCATAAGTATGGAGAGAAACACCCTTGGACTTAGAAATTTCCTTTTCCTTTCTTCCTCATGGCTCTGTTTCCACAGTAGTCAGTATCTGTGAGTGCTGGTTGGGTTTTGTTGCTGTTTTCACTGTTTAGAACTAGCTCCCTCGCTACTGGGGATTTTCCATGGTGACATAAATCTCTAAGCCTCATACTAGCAAAGTATACTCATTGCTACCTCAATTAGAACAAGTGAAATATTTGGAAATTCCCAGGGCCTTGGCCAAGGCCTTAATGGGGTGGGTTTTTAAAAATTCTGATTCCCTTCTTTCCACGCCAGCCAAGGGCACATTTCCCTGGCACAACATCACATCCCTTTCAAAATATAAACCCTCTGGATTGGAGGCCTCTGTGAGCTTGCCTATTTAGGCCCTGAACTTAGTCTGAGAATACTCAATGTACAAAAATAAGATGAGCAGGAAGACCATTTATTAAGCCAAGCCTCCCAGGGTTGGGGAAAACTTCCTGTTATCAGGCTTTTGAGAATGGGGTCAGGTCTAGTCCCTCCAGCCCTTCTGACCAGGACACTGGCTCAGAACCAAAAATCTGACCGCTAGGGCAGTGTCTGCTGTTGTAGGGAGAGCACAGAGGAGTCAAACTAGGGCTCAATATCAGGGCTGCCCCTTCCCGGCAGGGTAAGCTCTCGGAGCCAATGGGCCTTTGAAATGGGGTTAAGGATCTCTGCCCTAGCTATTCTTATGGAGTATGTGAGAGTAAGTTAACATATTTGAAAGCTGTCAAGTATTTATTTCATGCCTAAACTCTGGGTTTATGATGAAGATTAAATTACATAATTCATATCCACATACACCGTGGTATTCTGGAATGGGGGTGCTGAGTTTTAGCATTAGTTAATTTCCGTGGTGTACATATTCCCACCATGGCTGATTTCAGAGTACTGATCGATGCCACTGAATGTCAAGTGAAGAGAAATGCACATATTGAGCTCTTGTGGACTGGTCTGAGCCTGTTCCACACCACTGTTTCTAGACTTTACCTCTTCCCACACAAGCACTTAGCACAATTCAGAGAGCAAGGAGGGTGACCTCCTGTCCGCTCATTGTATTTTCACCAGCCAGAGGTGGTGGGCGTGGGGGTGGCAGCCCCACCCTGTTCTGCTGAATCACTCTCCGGATGGTGTGTGTTTTTAAAGCTCCCTGAGGGCAGTTCTAATTCACAGGCCTGATCAGGAACTACAGCACCAGGCTGCAAACGCCACGGGTACAGTGATTGCAACACTCCATCCCACAACAGGGCCCAATCTAAATGATGCTTTCCTGAATGAATCATGGACTCGCCTTACCTGGAACTAACTCGATCCAGAAAGGGGCCAGAACTGCAGCGGTAAGTGAAGTGAGGTCCTGGCTGACTGCCACGTACACGGGGTTTCTCTTCACTCGTCCAGGTTAGCCCGCTAACTTGGGCTGCTTTCTCCCCACCCAGTGTCCCCAGTGCCACCACTCATGCTGGTCCTGCTGACATAGGACAGAAGAAATAAAGACAAGTAGAAAGAAGTTGAGGAAATTGTAATTTTAAAATTGTACCTTTAAGAAAACAGCAACCTCAAAACACAATCAAAATTACCCAAGTTTATAATGTCGTCCTCACTCCTAGGCCTGTTTTTCTTCCAGGTTTCTGACTCCTGAATTCCCAAGAGTCTTAAAGATATAGTAAGTGTGAACTGGGCCTAGGTTTCTCTTTTGAAATTATAAATTCATCAACTCTGCAGACTTCCACCCTCAAGGAAAGAACACTATTAAGGGGATACCAATCTCTGAACTTCAAACACATGCAGTTTGCATTTTAATCTGCCCACTGTGGGACAACCTGACAGACAACAGGGATACACTTCTAGGCCGTCCACCGTGAGGACACCCTCAAGACCACATAAGCCCTCAACCCCAGACCATTATGCACCCGACCCTTGAGCGCTCACACTTGAGTGTGTACTCCTTTGACTCTGCTTAGAAAATCTGCCTATGCCTCTCACAGGCTCCTGAAATGCTTTTCTGTGCCAACAGCTGACACAGAGGCCTCCGTCTCCTCTTTGCAGAAGCTCCTTGGGCCCTGGCTGCTGACACCAGTCCTGCCCTGAGTCCTTGTTGCATACTGCATCCCATGGGGCCTATGCTCACTCCCTCCCTCCAGATCCTCAGAGCCCAGGCCCCTCCTCCTTTTTCCCTCTTTCTCTCTCTATAGGCGCCTCAAAGAGCCACCTATGACCCATGCATCCAACTCAGACCGGGAGTGGAGAGGACAAGGGCACATGTGCCTGCTCCACTTCCTCTAGCCCCGGTTGTCTTTGTCTGGCAGCTCTGCCCCTGCACTGCCTATGTCCACAGCAGGCCCTCCCTCCATAAAGGTTCTGTGAATAAAGACAAATGAGTTACTGGAAGGAACCACAGGAAGGGAGGAGAGGAAGACATTCCAGGTGATTTAATTACTCCAGGAAAGACCTGGAGTAACTGGGGCTTCCTTGGCCCATGTATAATAGCAAAGGAAAACTGATTTCCAAGCCAAAAATGTTCATATCTCCATCCATCATTCACTCACTGTACGTCCCACCCATTTTTATGTTCTCTTTCAATCCCGATGCCAATATAAATACCAACTCCCTCGTCTTTTTCAAGATAACGCAGAGAAAATGAGAAGATGGACTTCTCCAAGGATGTAAAATGCCCAAAGCATCTGCTTTAGGCACAAATATAATGACCAAATTATCCCAATCACCATCACAACTGCACGCACGGGGAGGAGGGAACAGCCTACTCACAGCCAGGACTACTGTAGAAAAATCCAACTTTAAGAGTGACAATAGTCCTGATGGCCGTACTGCCTGAGCTGGAAATTAAATGTTGTTATACTTAAGATGAGTTCGGTTCTCCAATTTAAGACAAAGAGGCAGGGGCTTGGCATTCACTAAGCACCTAAAATAGCCTTTGTTTAGATGGTCCTCAGCACACAGACACTAATCTGTACACAGCCCTGGGACGATACCTTCTTACCCTTTCTTGCAGATTAGCTAAACCTTAGCACACCAAAAATTAGCTACAAGGAGGAAACTCCCACAGGTCCCCTGAAGGCAGAATCTGGGGCTCTTCCAGCGAGGACAGATTCCAGGCTCAGCTTTTCCCCTCACTACTTCCAAACCAATCCTAGCAATAGAGCCATGGAGAGCACAAAAGGAGGCAAGCGCTTTTCCTTTCCCTTTCTTCTGATGTCTGTCTTGGTACAATGAAAGCACAGAAGGGAGAAAGGGAAGGTGGTGTTTATGGCAGGGATTGGGGGACCAATGACCATGTAATTCTTAAGTTCACAGCTTTTAGGTCTACAGTTTTTAAGACATCCAGAGGAATGATGCTAGCTCTTTAAAAAAGGTGGGTGTTGAGGCCAGAAATTATTATTTTAAACTGAGACTGAAAGTATGACCTATACTTGGAGCCTGTCACACAGTCCTTGGATTTCCTATCTCCATTACTCAGTTCCTATGAGCCTCACCTGACCTCTGGCCCGCCATCCTCAGCTACAGTCCTGGAAGGAAGGGAGTGGACCTTATTCATCTTAGAACCCCTAGGACCCGGCAGACAAGAGTTGCTGGCAGAGAGTGATACATTTTTTAAAAAATTTGTTTTCCACCTTTATTCCCAGGCTAACTTTGCTGCATCTTTGAGCCAACTCCCTCCTTAGTCTCCCCTTCTTCTCTAGGCTGAAGGTTTCAGCTGGCGCCTCCCACTCTCCTTGCTTATGGACAGGAGATGCCAGGGTGCTGAATTGGCCTTTGTGCAAACTTGAGGTTCTGGCAGTCGTCTAGGATTGCCTACTATCAGGTCATCATGTGCAAGAACCCTTCCTTCCCTACCTCCTCACTACTTTTTTAGGGGGTTAGGATTGATACAAATTACTCCATTTTGATTCTGATGACTTTCACATTTCTTTTGTAGGCTGGAGGAGAGAAGATGAATGTGGAAAGGGTCAGACTGTGGCATGGAGAGTGTGGCTAGCACTGTTTCTGTGGCTTAAGTAGGAGGGACCAGCAGGTTGTGGTATAATGTGGAGAAAGCTTGGGAAGTCATTTAGAATCACGTTATAAATGTACAGCAAAGTGACATAAGAACTAGTCATATTTTAAACCATAGAAGCTTTTTAATGATGTTATATCTCAAGTAGCTCTCTTGAGTGACTGAGTTTAATGTAATATGGCATACAATGACAGCATATTGAGTTCAATTTGTATGTCAGTATACCATCTTTGAAATAGAATATACAAAGTATATCTAAAGATGACATGGTTTATAGTTGTTAATGATGACTAAGGATACGTTGTAGAGGGCAAGTAACAGATGAATCTACTGTATTGGTTATCTACTGCTTTATAACACATTCCTAAGATACATTTAGCAACTTAAAACCACACACATTTATTATCTCAGTTTTTGAGGGACAAAAGCCCACGCACAGTAGAGGCAGCCCTTACTTAAGACTCTTGAAAAGCTGCAGCCGAGGTGCCAGCCAGGACTAGGGTCTTACCGGAGGGCTTAACTAGGGAGGGGTTTGCTTTCAAACTCAGATGTTTTCAGGCAGGATACAGTTTTTTAAAGGCTGGACCATGGGACTTTCTCAGTTTCTTGCTTCCTTCAGGGCTTTGGAGGCTGTTGGCTCAAGGCTACCTTAGTTCCTGACCACCGAGCTTCCCCAACATGGGTTTTGCTTTATTACAGGCATAGGGAGAGTCTGACAGTAAGACAGAAGTCACTAGCTGGCATCACTTCATCAAGGAAACAACATCCTTTTAATATTGCCAATATCTTATTGTACAAACAAGGTACTCACAGAAGAGGATTTCACAATGCTATGAATACGGGTGGTAGGGATCACTGGGTGCCATCTGAGAGGCCGCCTGCCACATCTATACATCAAAGCTCCCAGGACAGAGTAAACTGATGAGAAACTCCTAATATATCTGCTCCCAATGAACCTACAGAACTTGGGATCAGTGCAGGGAAAGTTTATTTGGTGGAATATTACAGTTAAGAATAAATAACCCTGTGTCAAACACTGCTCCCTTAGTCAGATGGGACTCTGTTATAAGGGCCATCACGGGGGAAGGAAAGTGACCCCCTCACTTCAGCAAACCCCTCTCCCCTGCCAGCTGTGTCTCTGTGCTCAGGACTAAGCTCGGGCAGTCTGCTCTTATTCAAGTTCTCAGACATGCACAGGCCCTGGGACAGGAAAGGTGCTCTTTTGTTCGGTGCTGATGAAACAGGATACTCTTCATTCTATCTGGTTCATACCCCTTCCTGGGACTGCCTTTTTCATAGAAAGAATGTACCAGCTACATTCCTGAAGATGAGAAACCAAATGCTGTCAGGCCTGATTTGTGATTCTTGGAGGAAGAAAGTAGACAGACAGGGGAAGGTCTAAGTGGGTACGTGTAACAGTTAGAGAGGGACAGTAGGACTGTCAGGTCAGCAGACAGCTCATAAAATATAATGTCTTTGATCTGTAAGTCACCAGTTTATTTAGAGTTGCCCTGAGACATTCCCTTGAAATATACATTTTTGGAATTCTTCCAGAAAATCTTCAACCCTTTGGTTATCTTTTTTGTAGTGTTCTGGGTTTTGATTTATCATTCTCTATGAAGTCATGGGTGAGATTTCACCTTTATTTGTTCAAAAACTATCAGACATACATAAGTGCTCTCACTCTGGATTCTGCTAAGCTATGACCATCAGCACTTCTATTACAATTTAGAGAAATTACCACCCCAGCCAGAACTGTGTATTGGAGGGTCTCAAAGCCTTGCTATGCAACTTGGCCTTCAGATATTAACAGGGACTTTTCCCATCAGACTACGGAGCCTGGAGGAAGTGCCGCAGGATATTAAATATATCAACACCATGCTTTTCAAGAAAAAACTGTGAGAAGCTGGATTTGGTCCTCAGGATGGCCAAGCTCAATCAGTGATTAAAGGCTGGCCAGGCTCCCCTAGGTCGGGACTCTTCGGTTTATACAGACAGCAAAATGGAAGGCACAGGATCTCAACTTGTATTAAAGAAATGAAGAATTTAGAGTATAATGTCAAATAGTCCACACATCTGCCTTAGAGTAAGAGCATGTTAGGGTTGTAAATTGTGGTTATACTTTGTTCAGGGAGGTGTTTGGTGATAGAGGTAGCTGAGAAGTTAAAGTTACATGGGGTAAAGTTTGGATTTGGGTGCCAGATTTCACCTCAAAAAGAAGTACACTTTCTCAAAAGCTAATTTTAGAATTCGCAAGGAAAATTTCTTGAGAAGGGGGCTTAGGTCTCCTCAAAAAGAAGGACAAAGAGGTAAAAAAAAGTACAAAAATTCAAAGAGGTGAGAGCAGATTTGGGTTTACATTAAGAGTGACCACACTGTTCCTAATATTTCAGGTGATTGTGCCACTCCCCAGAAGCATTCTGTGCACCTCTAACCATCACCCACTTGTCCCCACAGGGATAACTCCTGTCCTGTGTGCTGTGGTAATCCTTTCCTTGCTTTCCTTTATAGTTTTATCACCATGCATGCATCACTCAACAACAGAGTTTAATTTCATGTGCTTTTTGAACTTTTATGTACATGGAAACATGCCTCATGCATTTTTTTCACCTCTGGCTTCCTTTGCTCAACATGTTTGAGAGATCCACTCGCGTTGTTACTGTGGTGCAGCTGTAGAAAATTAATCATCTCCGTAGACTATTCCATTGCATGGCTACCCTGCCATTGATGTGTCTGCTCCACTGTGGTGGACATTGGGGTGTTTCTGTTTGGGGGCTACGAGGGATAATGCTGTTGTAAAGTCTTATAAGAGAGTTTCGGTGCACATGCATTCATTTGTGCTTGTGTATGTGTGTGTACCTAGGAGTAAAATTGTTGAGTTGTATCTTCAAAGTTAGCAGACACTTCCCAGCTGTTTTCCAGAAGGGGTTTACATTAAGAGTAACTGCACTGTTTCTAATATTTTAGAGCTTTCTGCTGAGCAATGTTTAAGAGTGCTGTTACTCTACATCCTAACATGTGGTATACAGAGCCATTTTAGTATTAGCCATAGCTGTTACTAAAAACAAAAACAAAAAATAACAACTGTTGGTGCAGATGGGGAGAAAAAAGAACTCTGAGACACTGTTGAGGGGAATGTAAATTAGTAAAGCCATTATGGAGAACAGTGTGACAGTTCCTCAAAAAACTAAAAATAGACCTATTAAGCATATTACCCAGCAATCCCACTTCTGGGGATATATCCAAAGGAAATGAAATCCATATCAAAGAGATACCTGCAAGCTCATGTTTACTGTGGTACTGTTCACAATAGCTGAGACAGAATCTGCCTGGATGCCCATCCGCAAATGAATGAGTAAAGAAAATGTGAATGTACATACACAGTGGAGTATTATTTGACCAGAGAGGAATGAAATCTTATCATCTGCAGCAAAATAGATGGAACTGCAAGACATTATTTAAGTGAAATACAGTGGTACCTCGGTTCACAAACTTAATTCGTCCCACCATTCTGGAGAAGATGCTCATGGTCCTTTGTGTTATCCAATGTAGAGTCCATGAATAGAAGCAAAATTTTGCCAAACATTTCTGTTTGTAAACCAAATTGTTCACAAACAGAAGTGTTTGTGAACTGAGGTATTCTGAAAGCCAGACACAGTAAGACAAACACTGCATGTTCTCTCTCATATATGGAAGCTAAAAAAAATTGATTTCAAAGTAGAATAGTGTTTATTAGAGACTGGAAAGGATGGAAGGAGAGAGTGGAAAAAGGGCAGCTGGACTCAGTGCACATTGTGTGTATGTATGGAAATATCACACTGAACTCCACTGATATATATAATTAATACATGTCACTTGTTTTTATATTAGCCATTCTTTGAGTATATGATCTTATTTCATGATTTGAATTTGCATTTCTCTGATGACTGAGTCTGAGCACATTTTTACATTTTTATTTTGGCTATCCTCTTTTACAAAATGCCCCATTTTTTTAGTTTGGTTGTTTTCCTATTGAGTTATAGTTTTTATTTTAAAAATATTTTGAATATACATTCTTTTTAGGTTATGTGTACTGAAAATATCTTCCACTTTTTTAGTTTGGCATCTAAATCTCTTTGTCATGTGTCTTTTGATCAAAAGAAGCTTCTAACTTTAATTCAGTACAATATTTAAGCACTTTTTTCTATATAGTTAGTGTTGCATTCAAGGAATCTTTATCTCCTCTGTTATGAAGATATTTTCTTATTTATCTCCTCAACACTTGACTGTTTCTTAACACTTGACATTTAGGTTGAAAATTTACTTGGAATTGATATGTGAGGTAGGGGTCAAGATTCACTCTTTTCTAACAAGGACATCAAAACGATATGGTTCCATATATTAAAAAGATCATTCTTTCTCCACTGTTTGGCAGCACTTTTGTAATAAATCAAGTGTCTGTATATGCATGTTTCTGGATTCTACATTCTGCTCCATTTGTCTGTTTGTCCTCCTACCAATATCACATGGTCATAATATTATTGTGTAATAAGCCTTGAAATCTGGTAGATGTAAGTCTTAACTTTGTTCTTCAAGATTGTTTTAGCTATTCTCAACCCTATATTTCTGTATACATTTTAGAATCACAAAATGATTAACTACTGGAATTTTAATTAAAACTGTATTGAGTTTATAGATCCATTTCAAGAGAAACAACATTTTTACTATACTGAGTTTTCCAGTTCATGAGCATATTTAGCACTTCTTTAATTTCTCTGAAAATGTTTTCAATTTCTGTTAATTATTTGCCTTTACCAATCGTTAAGAAGACTCATTCCTGGGCCAGGGATTTAGCTCAGTGGTTCCGCCGCCTGCCTCGCAAGTGCAAGGACCTGAGTTCGATCTCTGGTACCAAAAAAAAAGAAGACTCATTCCCAAGTATTTAAATTTTATGCTATTATAAATGAATATATAGATCAGGAAATCAGCAAGATGAAGCTGTCTGCGGCCCCGAGCCACCCGTCCACCTGCAGCATCCTGCAAGAGCAGATGAGCGACCATCTGGAAATTAACAGAGAAAATGCTAGGAAAAATGACAAGCTGCTGTCATTACTGAAAGATGTATGTGTTGATTCCAAAGATCCTGTATCACCTCTGCGGATAAAAGATTCTGAAACATGGCAAGAGACAAAGGAATCCAGATTGCCAAAGGGCTATCACTTTGGTATGGATATTAAGAACATTCCCAAGGGCAAGATTTCCACTGTAGAGGCCTTGACACTTCTCAATAATCATAAACTTTATCCAGAAACATGGACTGCTGAGAAAATAGTACAAGAATACCATTTAAAACTGGAAGATGTAAATTCGCTTCTCAAGTATTTTGTTACTTTTGAAGTCAAGATCTTTCCTCCTGAAAACAAGAAAGCAATAGAATCAAAATGAAGAAAATCACGAAATTTAAAATAAATAAATAAATAAATATATAATTTTTTCCTTCTTAAAGTATCTGCAGGCTATGTGTATGTGTAAACTGAGAGGCAATTGCAAAATATATTCTGAATTTGAGAATCATCCAATTCTGAAGAATTTATAGCTATTAGCTCTTCAAATATCTCTTCCCCATTCTCTTTAATGTACTCTTAGAATTCTGGTTAGATATATCCTGGAAATCTTTTCTCTGTATCTCCTAACTTTTTTCTTCTTCCTTTCTGATATAGAATGTATCCAGAACCATGCTTCAATTCACTAATCCCCTCTGCAGCTCTGTCTAATCTGTTGTTTAACCCAATGTTTCTCAAAAGAGAATGATTTTGTCACCCAGGAGATACTTGGGAACACGTGGAGAAACATTTTCGCTTGTCCCAAGTGTCAGGGATATGCTACTGACATCTAGTGGGTGAAAGCAAGAGATGCTGGCAAACAGCAGACCTTTATGATAAAGAATTACCTAGCTAAATATTAATAGTAACAAAGTAGAGAAACTCTGGGATTTTTTGGGAGGGAGGGAAAGTGAGTTGGAGTTTGCCTCATTCCTCTCTTGGAATATATGCAGAAGAGTGGAAGGAAGTGAATTGTTCCTCTTATTCTTTTATTTCCTAGCATATGGAATAGAATGTTTCTCCCTCTTAAATACTGAGGAATAGGGAATGAGTATTCTCCTCAAGAACTTCTATTTCCATCATCATTTTACCATGACCACCACCCTTAAACCAAGACAAGATGTGCCTATGTCCTGAGCCTTTTCCTGAGGAAAGTTCCATTCGGTCCCTTCTCCAGACATCCTTTGATCACAGGACCAAAGGGACATGTCCACCTACAGCCAACACCATTGCCCATTTTCCAGACAATTCTCAGTGTCTCAGCTACTTTTGTCTCATTGCTGAGACAAAATACCCAAAACTCAAAGTTAAGGGGAGAACGTTTATTTAGCTCAGTTTGTAGAGGTTTCAGTTCATAATTGGATGGTTCCAAGGCAAGGTGGCACATGGCAGAGGGGCAAGAGTTCATAGTAGTGGAAGACAGCAAAAGCAACAATGGACTTTAACAGTGTCTTTAGCTTCTTTTATCTTATCCAGACTACTTATGGCTGTAGCACTCACACCCTTAATCATAGTGCCCTTGAGCCTAGCATTGTACCATGAATCAATCCCAGCAGATCCACCCACCTCTGAAAAGGCCCCACCTAAGACCAAATGAGGTTTAAGGGGGGGCACCTAAACACAAATCATAACAGATGCCTAGGGCCCCAAGAGTTCCCACCCCAAAGCTCCAAAGCCTCCATCCAGAAGCTGTATGTTCTTCTCCTCCCCAGGTGCATGTTTCTGAGGGTGGGGTGGCCTCTGGTGAGGGTAGCCATGAAGAACTGTATGCAGGCAGTGTGGGCAGCTCTGAGACCTGCGATGGGCCTTGGTACACACAGGCCCTGCAGAGGAGGATGAAGTTGAGAGAGGGCCGACTTCTCCCCGCACACTCTCTTCTGCTCTGCAATTCTGACCTTACGGGAATTCTAAATTAAAATATGGCCCTCTAAGTCATTAGAAAGAAATATTTGTCAAGATCAAAGCACAAAACAAGTTTTAATAATTTTTTACTTGATTTATAACTTTGAAATATACAGCTATATGGTATGTGCACCTCTAGTAATACTCTGGACCTCATACTTTACATCAGTATCAGAGAAAGTTCTGCTTCTAGGTACTTTATCAAAAGGCTTAATTACATTTTTAAAAAGCTAATCTTTCTGATATGTGCACAGATGGTCCTCAGTTTACATTGGGATTATACACTAATAAACGCACTGCAATTTGAAAATATCATAAATTGAAAACACAATACATTTAACCTACTGAATATCGACGCTTAGCCAACAAAACACACTGCAGTGTTCAGGCTGTTTACTCTGGTGATCACACGGCTAATTAGGACCTCCCTGAACATCACACCATACCCAGGAAAAGCTCAAAATTCACAATTCTATTTCTACTGAGTGCATACCACCTTTGCACTGCTGTATAAGGACAAAAATCCTAAGTCAGGGAGTATATGTGTATTTATCTAAAATATAGTCTGGAAGATTATAAAGAAAAATATAAACAGGCTTATCTTCTACAGAGATGGGATTCTGAATAATTTAAATGTTTTCTTATTTGTATTTTCCAATTTTTTGAAGATAAACATGGAACATTTATGTAATTTATTTTAAAAGGGAAAATGAATACTAATCAGGGCACACTTACCTGAAAAAAAATAGCCCTACGTCCTATTGACTGTGGTCTGAGGAATCAATTCAGGATGCGAAGCACACTTTAGGTCCACTGCTGTTCTCTTCTTGTGTGTGAAAAAGAACTGTTGAGGAATACGCAGGTCTTCTGCTTATGCTGACCATTGTAAAAATAACAAGACAGCTTTTATCAGCCCTGGCACCAGACAACCCAGAGGCCAAAGTGGTTTTAGTAAGCAGTGATGAAGGGCACACAGAAGACTGAAAGACATTCTGCAGCATTGTTTCTCAAACTACAGGGTTATGACCCCCATGAGGATTATAGAAACTGGAGCCGAGTTGCTGGATGCCCCCACCCAGGGACTCCACTACCCCTGAGAACTTAGAGACATCCACAATGCTCCTTTCTTTCAATGATAACAAGAACTAATTGTGCACAGTTGTTCACAAAATACTTCACATACATCATCTGATAAATTCTCTCTGGTTTGCAGGGTGGGTATTTCCATTTTATAGCTGAGGAGACTGTGGCTCAGAGAGGTTCAGGGGCTCAGATAGGGTAACACCTAGGAAGTGGTGAAGCTGGGACCTCAGCTCTAGCTTCTCATCCTTTGGGTTCATTCTACCCAGTCAGTTCTCCAGTTCATCTTTTCTTTTCTTTTGGCCTATTCTTCTCTATCATCATTTCTTTTTCCTTTTCCAAAATCCTGATGATAAGAATTTGGTTCTCTTTCTCCTTCACTTCATAAAAATCTATCATATTCTTACCTTTATCCTTTTCCTTATAGCCACTTGAAGCCCAGAAAGGGGGAAAAGGTTGCTGTAGAATGAAAACACTGAGAATCACAACAGTTTGGTGTCATGGGCCAGCAGCACTCAGGGTCATCATGCTGCTCAGAGGGAAGCAGTAGTGTTTATCATAAGATAGTTTGTTTCTAAGACACTCTTACTTGCAATATATATCCTATTCACATTTTATTTTCAAAGCACTTTACATGTATCTTCTCAACTGATCTTATTATAACAAATGTGTGATATAGATCACTCACAAGGCTACAGGTAAGGAAACTGAGGCTTAGAGAAGTTAAGAGAGTCCCATAATCGGAGTTTTCAAGAAGCATGTCTGTGTGTGAGCAGCACTGTATAATCTACATAACTACAGATACTCATGTTCATTTGAGCCTTTGATCTGGAAAAAGTTAGCAATGCATGGGTTAGTTCCTTAACATTAACATGATTTAAGCCCCCTCATCTCTTTCTGGCAATAATATCACAAAAGATTAAAAAATGGCTGATACTTACCATTCAGAAGACCACTTTAATAATACCAGTTTTCTGTCCTGTAGCCCTTGGCAGGATTCCCTTTTCATAGATCACAATGTTGGCACAGGGCCAAGAGATGGTGAGGTTGACTCCATAGGTCACTGCAGTTTATAAAAAGTCAGAATAATAAAAAGGAAGGCAGTTCTGACATCACCGGCAATGGTGTTGTACTAAGCAAACTAATTACAGCTAGCTCTGAATAACACAGGAGGAGTAGCGCTTATTGAACAAAGGCAAAAGTCCAAGGAGAAAAATGTCTACATACAAAGTCAAACTCCTCAATAAGAGTTTGCAAATACTCTCAAAATGGACCATTAACTTCTTGTTTATCCTAAGGTCAAAGAAAAAAACAGAGTCTGGTCAAGCAGACACACTTTCTAAGGGTGAAAGAGGAAGTGCTTGATGATAAAATAATGAGAACACACACACAAATACACAATTGATTTTTAAATTGGCTTTGCTGCAAGCTACATGTCCAGAGGTAAAAGCACCTCTTTGTTTCCTAAGCCACTGCAATCTGAAAAAATAAGAAAAGAATAAATTTTAAGATAAGCTCAGCTTTTAAGCTCATTTGGTGAAAACCAAATTCATCTACAATTATTATTAGGCTATGGACTGTAAAAGCCTCTAAGAATGAAAAGCAAACCAACACTACCTTCAATCCATAAGGGATTACTCTTTTATTAGTATAGTCTTGGGATTAGTGGAAATGTCTGTCTAATGAATGCAGCTACTATATTTGAGCACATGCCTGAATAAGCTACTTGTTGATTGAAACGTATTTATTTATAAGCACTTCTGCATGTTGTGAAAAATCCATCTGCATCTCCACAGCATGGCACCCATCATTTCAGTAAAGGCCTTTTGCCATTTCACTATAGAGTCTGTTGAATGAACATGCAGAAAGGAAGTGTGTTGCATCTGTTTACCAGATTTTATTCCCCACTTTTGGCCAGTAAAGTGGAGTTATCTTATCTAAACAGTAATTTAGATTGATGTGGGTGTTATAAAAACAGGATGGAGGAGGGGGAAACACTTTTTCAGACTCATCCAGGGTTTTAACCTAGTAGATTTAGCATAATAACTTGGATAAATGGTCACAAATAGCACCCCACTAGCCAGACCTCTGCTTGTGGCACATTTAAACAGCTCAGAAAGGACATGGATTTACTATATATAGTTACCATTTCTGTTTTAAACTTCTGCATGTGAATGGCACACTAACAGCACATCCAACAGACACACCTACAGCATGGAAAGAACAGTCCTAATGAACAATTAAAGGAGTCAGTACCTCCAGTATTTGGGGTTCTCACTATACTACACGGAACCCTCCATCCCTAAGTGGGGCCTCCTAGTCCATGCTGGGGCTCTGTAGTTCTGTGCCCCTCCCCCACACCGCTCTGCATCTCAGACTTGGCACTCACTCTCTTAGCTTTCTGATGCTTGGTTTTGGGTGTTGAGAAAGGATCTCTCATCCCACTGGAGTTTATGTTCATTCCTTTGCACTTATAGACCCATCTACTATGCTACCTTTTTGAAGAAAGGCTGACAATGAATTCATTAAAAAAAATTTTAAAGTAATAATCATAACAAATCACAGGCTATTATCAATTAAAACCTCACAGAATTTCTCTTGGAGAACTTTCTGAATGACAAGAGGCAAATCATCAGGTATCCCATTGTTAGAAAGAGAAGACTGGTATGGGCTAGCTATTGGAAGCTTCAGCAAAGCAAGTAGAAAAAAAATTCAAGGTTTAATAATCTTTGAATCTTGCCCATTTCTCTTTCTAGACCCTTACTTTTCCACTGATATAAAAAACTGACCTAGCAAGGCTCTTCTGAAAGTTGATGCTATGTACAATGCCTGACACATAATCAGAACTCAATAACTTGTAGCTATTATTATCATTATTACTCATGCTATGGGCACAATAAAGTTAAAGGATCACATCTTTCTGCTTTTCTAATTGACAATGCAAAGCAGTAATGCTAAAAACAGAAGTATTAATACTAGAAAACCAAAGCTGAAACTTACAAGATAAGCCACTTGGAAATACAAGCAGTTAGCCATAACAGAATGATACAAAGCACTAAGACCCTTCATAATTGATAAAGAGCCTTTTAAACAGATATGCATTACTAACTCTGAGGCTGGCAGGAAGTGGTATGAGAGACAGGAAGAACTCTAGGGAGGTACTATTATCACCATACCCACATTACAGTTCAGGAAGCCAAGTAGCTCAAAAGCAATCACAGGCAGTAGAGATGAAGTTTTGATTGGAAAATCCCACACATACAGTTATTTCCTCCAAAGCAGGAGCTTTCCCTTTTTTGCCTCCTTACAGATTTTCTTCAATTTTAAACACTTATATAAGGAAGATTATGAAATATAATCACTCTGGGTCCATTAAAAGAAGACATTAATGGTTGTCTTTTGTGAGAACATCCCACAATTAAGAAGATACAAGGAAGCTGGATGTGGTGGTGCAAACTGGTAATTCCAGCAATGTAAGAGGCCGAGGCAAAAGGATTCGTTTTGCACCCAGCCTGAGAAACTTCTTAGTGACTTAGCAAGACTGTCTCAATTTTAAAAATGAAAAAGGGCCAGGGATGTATCTCAATGTGAAAGCCTTGGGTTCAATGCCCATCTACAAAAAAGTAGTCTCCTGAAACTGACCCATCACAGTAGGGGAAAGGACTAAGAGGGGACACTTTGGTTTGTTATTGCTGTAATCACTGATGTCTTTCAATGTGAACCCAAAGGAAAGCAAACTAAGAACAATTTGCAAAACTTCGAAGCTATACTTCAGTCTTCCACTTGATTCCTGAAATCCTTGTACCTTTTCACTAGTTCCTTTCTACCCACTTTCTACTCAGCTTAGAGTTCATTTTAAAACTTTCTTCCAGGACTGGGAGTGGTGGTGCACACCGGTAATCTCAGCACTTGGGAGGCTGAGGCAGAAGGATCATCATGAGTTCAAGGCAAGCCTGAACTACCTAACAAGACCCTGTCTCAAAAAGCAGACAAAACTTTTTCATCCATCCATGCAATCATCTACCTGTATATCTGCCCATCACTCACTCGCCCACCTTTTTCTCAATGAATTCCACAAAAAAGATTTTAAATAGACACTAAATGCTAACTCCTGCTACTGTCTCATCTTATTGGACTTTCTCATAAGCACTGTCTTTTTATAGGAGAAATTTGTTTGCAGGCATAAATATTTCTTAAATTTAGTATATGGTAATAGAAAAGAGAAGCAAATGGCTAAGGAATGAGAGCACATAGCACTAGAAAACATTCATAGGTGGAGTTCCTTAAAGAAAGAATTTTTAGAACAACTTTTAAATGTTCAGAGTGCTTTATATCTATGGATTATCAAATGCTAAATTTCCAAGTGCAGTTGAAACTTACAAAGAAGTAGGAGTCACAATTATTTACATCTTTAAATATGAATATGGAAAAAAACAAGGGTCAAGTGATTCATGCATGGGACCCAAAATTTAGCAAGCCAAGCCAGTAACCAAATTCTTCACTATGACTTTAGTACTGACTATTAATCTCAGCTGCTGACTCCAATATTTGTTTCCATAGACATTACTAAGAAAGCATTTTACTTTGGCATTTTTGTAATATGGCACCATTTATAGCTGCATTCACCCATAACAACCTTACTAAATAACATCTTTAGGGCTGGCAGCATACATCAGGAGGAGGTAATAGTCTGGATACTAGTGGCTAACAATTGAGTTGTAATTTGGGTTATGTCATATTTTTTCTTGCATTTTCTTGATTTAGAAGTTAAATCATGTTCATACTTCCAATTTAGCCAAGTTTGTATCAAAATTTTAAGAAGTGTAAATGTTTCCATCTTGAAATCCATTCTTTTATCACTCTTGGACAATGAAGCAGCCAATCTAATGATTCCATCAACTTGTAATATATAATTTTTTTTTCTGTTTAGACTAAGTTTTTCCAAAGAATGATCCAATTCATGTTAGGCTGAGAAAGAATAAACCCTACACTAAAAACAGAACTCCTATTTTGTTCTTTGTGCTGAAATACCTCAAGAACAATATAAATACTGAATTTAACCATAATTAGGCCTAAAGAAATAATTTATGTACTTCAGAAAGTGCAAACATTTCGGAATATCACAAAAACAAAGATGTTAGCCATGAAACAGAAATTTATTTTAAAAAATCAGTATCTTGTGGTTCAAATATACAGGTATAAGAGAAATTCCAGAAGGTGGAAGCACCTTTTCCAGAAAATGTTCTCAGCACGGTTAATACTGATTTCGAAACTGGTTGCTTAGGTCTTGAAGTTCTGTTACCAAGGCATCCATAGCTGCTATTTCATCTGCTAACTCACTGGAAACTTCTCCACTTGTCACGTCTGTAAAATGTTGCTGCAACATTAAAAACAAAGCATCACCATCAAAACAATGAAAACTGCCTTAAAATAAAAGATAGAGTAGAAAATTAAAATCCCCTTTGGACAACAACACTATAGTAGCAATAATAGTATTTGTTCACTCACCAACATGAAAATGTACAACCGTCATCATTAAACAATAAATCAAAACAACATGTCTGAACTTATAAATCCAAATGAGCTCTGTTCTACAGAGCAGTTGCCTTAAATATTTGATTATTTATTTCACTGTTATACAATAGTTTTTGGATGAACAGACATCATTCATTCAAACAAAAAACTATTCATTGTGTATACAAAGAAAACAAATATATTTTATATTTAAATTCATAAGTCATACCTTTTCTTACTTATTTGAAAATTAATTTTCACATAGGCCTCAGTGATTAATTACAAAGATTATCAAAATTTGGTAAAGGTGAAAAAAACCTAACAACAAAAAATGCTTCCCCTGGGAAGCAACATATTTCAATGATGCTAACCATACCTAAAAGGATTTTGGAATGACTTTCTAGGAACTGCTTCCTAGAAGCAGTATTGGGTATATTGGGTACCAATATAGTAGATACCCAAGAAAATCATTTTTATGACCATATTTTGTGTGTGTGTATCAGATACGTGACTGTGTATTTTCATCAGAAACATCGTTTATTTAGCTTTCCATATATCTTTTTCCTCATACTTCAGTAGATGATTTGTATAGCCTTTCAAAACAGATTGACATAAAAACTGCTGCAATGTGGTCAACAGAGAAAACATCTTTTAGGAAAATAATCTGAACTCAGGTAGCATACTTTAAACTAATATTGACAGTGCTTGAAAATCCTAATGAATCTGCATCACTTCCCTGTGAAGAAGGAAGCAGAAAGAAACTGAGGCTTAGAAGGAAAGAATAATTCACTGAGTGTAAGAAGTAAACTCTGTCCCCCCCCCCCGCCCCCCGGGTTTTTGCCTCCAGGCTCCCTGGCCTCCACCCATCAGCCCTAGGGACAGAGGAATCTCTCCAGTCATGGCACAGCAGACTAGAAGGTTTGTCTATTTACATTTCTTAGAGCTTTAAGGTTTATGTGTGTTTGTTAATAAAGCATTTCGGTGTTAATAGGAAAGACTAGTTCTAGGAGTTTATTTCCATGAAGTCCCTGTTCCAGCAAGAAAACACCAGAGACTCGTGCAAACCAAGCCTACTGCAAGCAATTTAACAGTTACTTCAATTCACTTTCTTTTTTAAAAGTATCCTTTAAAAGTGAGTTTTTGAAATGCAATTCAGTTTAGCAAATCTAACTCAAAAAACATAAAAGGTATATGATCTACTAAAAAACCAGAGACCCCAAAATATTATTTACCAAAAAAATGCTTTGCATTAGGAGGCAAATTTTCCCTTTTTTAAAAAAAATATTTGGATGATCCATTTGGGATTTAATGAGAACAAAATCTAAATACAAGTGATGTTCTGAGGCATCATTTTTAATATTTCAGAATCTACCACAGACAGGAAGGCTGTGTAGTACCGGTACAATGTTATTTAAGTTAAGGAGGTGCAAATTTATGTAAAAATAATAACCTACAAGGAAAAGCTTTGCAGAGATATAAGGGAACTGGAGGAGTATATCTGTAGAGATAATTATGGGTGGCTTTGTGATTTAATCAAAAGTAGAAAACTTAGCTCCCAATTTGGAAAGAAAAGACACAGAAAAGGCTTGCTGATTTGACTTTCTATGAAAAAGTTCTTGTAGACTTTTGATACACGTAATTCTGAAGTTGTGCTGTCAAGCTGGGAGGAAATACAGTTCAGCTAAATAGAGATGGAAATGTGAATTAATTACCTACAGAGGCAAAAATTATGCCTTAATCTGCAAAGATCAAACAACTAGCAAAAAAGACACACTCTGGAAATGTTTTACAGAGTAAAAAGGTGTCCAGGTTCCGCCACCTGCCTCGCAAGTGCAAGGACCCAAGTTCAATCCCCAGTATCAAAAACAAAAACAAACAAAAAGGTGTCCAGAAGTGGTTTCTATGTGCCATAGACTTTTTCTCAGAAGTCAATCAAAATCTGCAAGCCAAGATTAAATGGTGAAAGTAAAGACAAGAAAAGAAAGTACTCAATTGTGCTACACATTATATTCCTTTCCTTTTTCTTCCAGAGATATACTCCAAACCCAACTGCATGAATTTAACAGATTTCCCAAGCTCCCCTCAAGATCTGAGTCTACATCGTCATGAGCAAAGGCCAAGAATTCAGTCTTCAGAGATGCTCCTAGGGTGATTTGTGACGTCTCACTCAGCACTGGTCCACACAGTGTTACTTGTGAAAACCTGGTAGATTTCAGTTGTCAAACCTGAGTCTGCCTGAGCAAGTTTTCATCAAATCCATATGTCACCTACTTAATATTCTTATCTCAATCATTTTTTACTTAAATAAAAGAAAACATTATATTACTGTTGTTGATGAACAACAAGCAGTAGTATTCATGAAATTGTAGGTTTTGATGGGCTGGTTATACTTTTTCTAATACACATTGAAATAAATATGTTTTAAAATTAAAAGTACACCCAAATGCCACTGGTGGCATTTATGTCACATGTTGGGAAAAACAGTAATAAATAGAAGAGCACTGTTTAAAACATTAACTTCCAAGACTCCTAAGTTACTCACATTTAAGATAATCTAACCATAGGACCAGTAACACCTTTCAGCACAAGCAACCACATGAAGGATGTTATATAAAATATAATGTGGGTCTAAAATTATGCCAGATATAAAAGAAGACTCAAGAATAGTAAATGGGCACTAATAACCTTTTACTATATGATAATCTTAATTAATTCACATGTTGCTCTCACCTTTGCCTTAGATAGTAAGCCCTGTAAATTAAGTCGAACTGAAGAAAGCATCTGTACAGCTTCTTGAGGACCAGGTTTGTTTTCACTGCATTTTATAGCCACTGCAAGATAAATATGGGGAAAACATCCATTAAGAATTGGCAATAATTTATAGCTAAAACTATTTAATTGTAATTTTATAGTAACTGACTTTAGAAACATTTCTTCCTAGAAAGTTTTTATTCTTTCCTAAATTCTTCCTTTATCTTCCTCTCTGTGTCCAGTCCTGGGGATCAAATCTAGGACCTTACACATACTAGGCAAGTGCTCTGCCACTGAGCTACATACATGCCAGCATACATGGAAGAAATTTATTGCTGGGGAGAATCTGGAGGAAACAGATGTCTTTGGTGAGCTGCAGATCACCAGGAAGAGACCCTAAACACACACACACACACACACACACACACACACACACACACACACTAATGAAATTAGGCAAGGAGACAACAATCTTATTGAAAAGAAGGTACCCACAGAGGACAAAACCAAATGCAGCACATTTAGTGTAGCTTCCCATGGTACCAAGTCCCTAATGAAGATCACAGTGGCTCATGACACTAGCCCAAGAAAGTAACATACCAGATATGTAGGGCTTGATGCACTGTCATACTCAATGTTTATAGCACCATTCAAGAAGACTTGGTGTCTATAATCTATGTGTCATCATTCAAAGAATGTGGCCACGAGCAGGCACTAGGGTTCCTGAGCTACACCTGGCATCAGAACACTGGGTATGAGAATGAAGTCACTCATCACAGACAACTCTACCTCCAGCATTCCAGGGAACCCATGTTCCTAAACGTTGAAATTGTGAGAGGCCTTACTTCTCCTTGGCAAAAGGCCCAACATTGTTTTTTCATTTTTTCTCCAATTTTAAATTTTCATTAGTACATGTTTACAGTATACAATCATTACATTCCTTGTGGGGAGTTAGTACATGTACATAACACATTTTAAATCTCTTTTCATCCCTTTCCCTTCCCCTTCCTTCCTCTTCCCTCCATCTCCTGGTCCCTTCCCTTTTGAAAAAGATCTATCTTCCTGTTTCTTATTATCTATCTTTTATTTTGCTATTTACTTATGTTTTGGGTTTTTCATGTAAGAGAAACCATGTAATATTTAAACTGTGTGTCTGATTTATTTCATTAAATATCATGGTCTCAAGGTGCATTCATTTTCCTACAAATAGCTCAAGTTTAGTCTTCTTTGTGGCACAGTTGTACTCCACTGTGTATATAAACATCACATTTTCTTTATCCACTCATCTCTTAATGGACATTTAGGCTGCTTCCAACATTTGGCTGCTATGAATTGTGCTGCTATAAACATGTGTATGCATGTGTTACAGTAATATAATGTCTTTAACTCTTTTGGGAAGATACCTAGAAGGGGAAGAGCTGGGTCGAATAGAATTTGAGGAATCTCCATACTAATTTCCACAGTGGTTGTACTAATAAAAGGACCAACTATTAATGCTTTATGAGAACAAATAAAAAGTTCTGCACAAATAAAAACCACTGATTTGTTCTTATTTTTGTTCCCTAAAATTATGTGCACTAAAGTCAAGCAGACCAATAATCAGATCCTATTTTTAAAGTACACTAAAGAACTAGGCATGGTTGCATACACCTGTAATCCCAGCACACTGCGGGGCTGAGGCAGGAGAACTGCAAATTCAAGTCCTGCCTGAGCAACTTAGTGACTTAGTGAGACTTGTCTCAAAATAAAAAAGGGTTGAAGATGTACCTTAGTGTGAAGGCCCTGGGTTCAATCCCCAATAACCCATCACCAAAAGTATACTGAACAAAGCAAGGAATGAAGTTTCTTCATTTCCTTGATAAGTGAAGGCAAACCTTTTAGAACTTTCAATGGTAGCAAACAGCCCACTGCGCCATATGTGCCATAGGTTCACCACCACTGCCCTAGATCATAGATGGAAAGCATCTAATCAATTGCTAGAGGATTTTGAAGTCTGTTTCTCTGAAAGTTGGAACTACTACAGCAGAGGTATTTGGGCTGTTTAATACCTAGTAGGCTTATATCAAAAATAGTTGTGATTCTTTCCTTAATCTTTTTTCATCCAGAGAAAATACAGCAAAAAGACAACATGCTCTAGGAATTCTCTCCTCAATCCCATTTCCAAAAGGCATTAAAAACAGAGGAAGTGGGAAAAAGAGAGGGAGAAGAAAAGAGAAATAACCTGCTGTTCCAAATCATCAGAAAATCCAAGAGACAGTACCTCCTCTCTACAGACTGCAGTTAAATACCATAACAATATTTCAAAAGTTCCAGGATGGCAAGGAACAAGAGCTTTTGCCCACCCTTCCCCAGAAAATAACATCACAGAAACTGTAAATAAACATCCTGCAGACAATGCACATGGGCACACAGTGACAGCACTGTTAAAGAGGGGTCTCAAATACTATGCTGAGACTGCAATACATTCTCAAACTTGCCAAAGGGCGTGGCGACTCTTACCAATAGCAACCCAAGAGGGAGCACAGACTTTAAATGTTATATTTCCTTTTCAGAATTGGGTGGGGTGGAGGCACAGTAGTGGGGAGAAAGACAAAAAAGAGAACAGAACAGAAAACCCAGCCCACTGTGACTGAACGCTGCTGTACAAATGAAACAAAGACAAAGTTAAGATTTATTTTTATAAATCTAAAGTACCAGCCAGGCAGCACATATCTACAATCCCAGCTACTCAGGAGGCTGAGATAGGAAGATTTCAAGTTTGAGTTCAGTCTGGGCAACTTAGTGAGACCCTGTCTCAAAATTTTAAAAAGAGCTGGGGATGTAGCTCAGGGGTAAAGCACTTGCTTACCATGTGCAAAGGCTTGAGTTCAATCCCCAGAACTCTAATCAGTCAGTCAGTCAGTCAAAAGCATCATTAGAGGGGGCTAGGGATTTAGCTCAGTGGTGCCACCGCCTGCTTAGCAAGTGCAAGGTCCTGAGTTCCCCGGTACCAAAAAAAAAAAAAAAAGGCATCATTAGAAACCAAGTCTACCATTGACTCAGACATGCTTAAACTGTAGTACCAACAACACATAATTCATTCAAGATCAAGGAGAACTTTAAATAACAGACCCTTGTTTTTCCCTAAGTGTTGTCCTGATGGAAAAATGCCAGTAACAGTTTAAATTGAATTTTAAGCTGCAAAATGAAGATTCTTCCTGAAGTATTTCTTTAATCTGCATATTTATAGTTGACAGGTTTAATATCAGCACTTGGTGATTACAGAAAACACCCTGGTTTTGACCATTACAGAGTTAGTAGTTCACAGAAAAGTTCAAAGTCTGCAAGTTGAAATAGATAAGATAAATTCTTGGAAGTAAATCCCACCCTGCTAATTATGTACCTTATACACCTTAGTGTGGGTTTCTCCAAACATAACACTATATACACAAAGGCCAAAGCAACTGGCTCCAACCTTCTCTGAACCCACCCTCCATAAAGCCAGCACTAGTCACACGGATTCCAGCCACTCCTAAAACATCCTTCCACTAATCTATCAGCAATTACCTCAAACCGTTTTAGCCGGAATTTCAGCTGTACAAGAGTTCAGCACTTGTACCTTATCTGCCAGTGGCTAGGTGGTCCAGGAAACTGGATACGTATATTCTTTTTGGTCAAAGATATCAAAGGCCATAGGTAAAATTATTAACTACCAAGCCCATTTCTAAACTATCTGAATGTTCTGTGCTTTGTTAATAAGCAAGTTAAACTTTATCCTTGTTCCTCCCTTTTCTCTTTTTGAGTCCTTTATTGGATATTCCAAATCTTCAACTTCAGAAGACAGAGGATGGGGGTGGGAGTATGAAAGGTTAACATTTAAACCATGTGAAAAATATTAAGTGTTAAAATACTCTCATTTATTCTTCCTAACAATCACAGGCAAGTATTATCCTCATTTTACCTAAACTAAACTAAGGCTCAGAGAGGTTAAATAATTGACTCAGTTACGTAGGAACACAGACTGCAGCTTATCCTAGAGCTTTAGTGTCCCTGATTCTGTGTGGTTTGGTGGCTCCCTGTTTACTGTCACAATTAGTGGCAAAAAAAAAAAATTAGGCAGAGAAGTAGGAGGACTTTAGGATAGGTTCATAGTGATTCAGTTTTTAACACTGGGGCTTTGTTATTTCATGAGAACTGAATTTCCAGGACAATACACACACATATTCAAATATAAATATAAAAATGCCTTACTATATTTAAATGGTATTTTTTCATTAATGCAAATAATTAAAAGTTGTCTTTGTTTGGACTATTTATCCAACAGGCAAACATGCCATTGCTCTTTTATGTAGCTATATACTCCAGAGACCTACACATTTTTACGAAAAAAAAAAAGGTTTTATTACTGGTACTGGGAATCGAACTCAGGACCTTGAACTTGCCAGGCAGGTGTGGTGCCACTAAGCTAAATCCCCAGCCCCTGAAAAATATTTTTATTTTTAAGGAAGAATAAGAGTCAAGAAAAAGTTAACAGATTTCCTTAACACTATGTAATCAACACAGACTATGTGGAGTGAAGGTTATTTACAGTTCTAAAGGTATTTCATCTCTCTAAAAGTTTCTAATTCTTGTCATTTACTCTAACAGTACTGAGGCCTCTATCCTGTTTCTTCTTATTGCTCCAAAGCACCTGCTTGGCAGTAATTGTGTATGTCTTCTGAATTAAAAATAACAGTTTCAATATAACAAAGTAATCAAAATTATTTGTAATGGAACTTGACTTTTTACTACCACTTTTTTTTAAAACAATAAAAAAATACATTCAAAAATGCCATGGATATCAAATACCATGTGCAAGCCCTAAGGCTCTTTGAACGATTTCCTTAAATGATGCAATATCTTTCTCCCAACAACGGGACTGGGTGTCACACTTGTATGCCTTCAAGAGATACTGGAATGCCTGAGGGAAGAAAAAGAGCAACACTCAGAATGACAGTAGAATTCACATTTGAAACTGTTTCCGAGAAGTCATATGGGACTAGTTACACACTGAAAGACCAGGGTCTGTGTTGTGCAGCAGTCTCCATTACTCTCATCAAAGGAGGGGTAGGGATGCACATTAAATAGCAATAAGCAATTACAAGAAATCGATGGATGTTTCTGGACAGACACTTCTCTATAACCAAAAATGTAAGGCCAGGCTTGGATATCTATGAGAAGGGTACTGATTTTCTCACCGTTTGTAGCCAAGAGAATGAGGCATGAATGTGGTGAAAACCGATGAATTGCTGGTAGGAGTGTAACTGCACAAAAGTTTGAAACACTCTTTCATGTCCTTACAGATTCTTTTTTTTTGGTACCGGGGATCAAACTCGGGACCTTGGGCTTGCAAGGCAGATGCTGGAACCACTGAGCTAAATCCCCGGCTCTTCCTTACAAATTCTTAAGAGAGAAGTCATAAATCAGAGAATTCACAGTACCTTTAGTTGCGTATTTGCAAGAGAGTACATAATTCAAGAAGAAATGGAAGGCAGAATGTAGGAGTGTGTGCATGCATGCATGTGATACGCGTTCTCAGGCTGACAAGGCAATGGTAGAATCCAGCTGTGCGGACTAGGGGAGGAGAGAACTGCTAAGAATCCCACAGATTAGCTGTGCCATGGCTAATTCCAAATCCATGCAAGGAGTACATCTGATTTGTTGTGGATGTTTTGAAAAGAAACACAAAACAATTATTCCAACCTTGGAAATTCTGGGAGCTCCTTTAGGTTGGGAGATAGAGGCTGTGACACAACTGGAGCGTAACCAGTGTTCTGATGCCCTTGTGATTTGAAAGGGCAGGACAACCTTGGTGAGGCATTACATGTTTAGACTTTCTTTAGCAACTTTTTCTTTTTCCCTTTCACAGCCCCCATTTCAGATCTAAACACTCATCCTGTACTTGCCCCCAGTCTACTTTAGTTGTTAGCAATGAGCTGCAGAAGAGGCTGTAAAGAACAAGGGCCAGTTGCTTGCTGCAGAGCCAGAAGGGTGGCAGGTTAGAGACCTTTTTGCAGGAAACATAAAGCCACTATGTTAGAAAAATTCATAAAAATTAAAGACAGAAAGTTCTAAGTCTTAACCTGCCCATAACTCAAAGTGCTTATGTCAAAGACAGAATCAAAACCAATTTGACCATATTAATTATGTCTTTTAGATTACCGAACTCTTCCTCTAGCCATCAAAACAAACAGATGTACTGTGCATGTGTCGAACAAGAGGCATGGGCCTAAGAGGCGAAGGTGGACCTACCTTCTTGTTCTCATCGGGCTTCTCACTCTGTCCATTCCCACACAATTGGGCATACAGCCTCCAGACTTCACCATCATTGGTCACTCTTGAAGTTACTCTGCCAAATAACTCCTGCAGCTTTCCTTTGAGGCTTGTGGCAACATCTCCACTTCGATCAGTCATCCCATCAGTCACTGCCCTGACCAGAATTTTAAGGACCTTAATAAAAATGTACAGAAGAAACAGGTGAGCTAGAAACCACCAAATAGTAACAAGAAACAAAGAGCTACCCATGAACCCCCTGCAGTGATACTGCCCAGGAGCTTCTCAGAAATGCGGAATCCTAGGCTAGGCCTGACGGCACATACCAGCAATGCCAGCACTCTGGGCATGCTGAGGAAGGAGGATTGCAATTTTGAGCCTAGCCTGGGGAACTTATTGACCTAGCAAGGTCTTACCTAAAATTTAAAAAATTTAAAAGGGCTGGGCCTGTAGCTTAGTGTGAAGGCCTTGGGTTCAATCCCTAGTACCAAAAAACAAATAAACACACAAAAAAACAACAATCCTGGAGAATGAATAAAATAAAAGTCAAGTCATCCTGAGCTACTCTCTAGACCTGCACACTACCTACCTCTCTAGCTGTCCCTTCTCAGACTCCTGTGCTGGTTCTTTTTTAAATCTACCTATCTATCTATAGCAGATGTTTGCAGTACATAATGCTTACATTCAGCTTGGGAAGCAGGTACGTGTACTTAACATATCTTCATTCTTTTTATTCCCCTTCCTCGCCCTCCCTCCCCATTCCCTCTGTCTCTACATTCCCTTCCCATTTGCAGAAAGGATCTTTGTCTCTGTTTCCTATGTCTATCTTTTAAAATTACTTATATTTTGAGTTTCTCATATAAGAGAAGTTATGCTGCATTTAAGCTTGTACGCCTGATTTATTTCACGTAACATTATGGTCTCGAGGGCAGGGTCTTCTCTCACAGACCCCATGCTGGAGCTCATCTCTTCTCACCAGGCACTCTCTCTGAAGATCTGACCCCCATGGTAGCTCCAGATAGACCACCAAGCCTACTCTGATTGTGTCTGAGCAGCTTCAGCCAGGTTTCTCGCCCTAGGTCCAGGATTGTCACCGAAAAACCCACTGGGCAGGTCAGAGCAACATCTCACACCTATCCACCCAAGAACGAAACAGATTTCTCATCCCTGTCCCTCCTGTGGTCTCTAGGTGACTTATCTACATGGTTCCCAGAGCCGGTAAACTGGGCCTCAGTTACATTCTCGTCACTCTCATTTCTGCCACATCTGACCTCACGCAACCTTCCTTATGAGCCTCTCCTACCTTAGGTTAGGCCTCATTAACTTCCACCTGGACGGCTGTGACAAGATTTTAACTCTGCTTAAAGGGTCCTTGGGCTACCTAATTACTGAATGATAAGTTGCTAATGCTTTTGCACTTGGCATATGAGTGAGCACTCAGAATCTCTTCTCCTTCCCTTTACCACAGGTCAACTTCTTGGCCATTCCGCTTAGAGCTGGTCTCTACACATTCTATTCCAGGTGCTTCGAATGCTCATGGATGCATTAAACTGAGTCCCACAGCAGACCACACTGTTATGACAAGGCTGTATCTGAAGGGAGCTCCCTGAAGGCACAGAAAGTGCATTCTTAATCTTCTATTCTTTTGATGGGAGATAGCAAGGGCACCTAGATTCATCTAAAGAGCCAGCTTGAGATGAGTACCCTAAGATCTTGTTGATCAGTGTGTGTGGCCCGTGAACCCTCAGCATTGGCATCATCCAAGAGCTTCTCAGAAATGCAGAATCTTAGATTAGGCATGGTGGTACATGCCTGTTATCCCAGCACTCTGGGGGCAGGAGGACTGCAAGTTTGATCCTAGCTTGGGCAATTTAGTGACTTAGCAAGACCTTATATTAAAAAAAAATTAAGAAGGACTGGGGCTGTATGCAGCTCAGTATGAAGCCCCTGAATAATCTACCAGGTTATGTCAATGTCCATGGCCTTGCAGACCACACTTGAGGGGCAAGGTTCCAAGAGACCGGGGCCCACATCTTTACTTTTACCCTCAACCTCAGGGAGAGAACCACATGACATCACCCTGTACCATCTGCATCTAACACAGTGTCTGGTACACAGCACTCACTCAACAAATTCTTGTGCCTGAAAAACTGAACAAATAGACTTTCTTCAGGAAGTATTACTAAGAGAAAAGCAACCAGTGTGACACCTTGCTCCACCTCCTCCTAGAACATTCTGCTCCATACATGAGATATGGCCAAGGAATCCAGACTCCTCCAGCACAAATGCAAATGCTTTTAGGAATGTGAGCTTAGGAGCTGGGGAAGTAGTTTAGTGACAGAATGTGTGCTTAGCATGCACAAAGCCCAGAGACTGATTCCCAGCACCACCCATTCAAAGAGAAAAAAAAAAAAAAAAGAAAAAAAAGAATGTGAGCTCAGATTTACAGTCCTAATTATATACATAATGCAAGTGGTCAGGAAAACATTTGATTATGCTTTTTCTTTCTTGTTTGAACATAATGCATTATCTCTGCCTGTAAACTCAAAATACAATTTCACCTGTAGTTTTAAATCTAAAAGTAACAAAATTCATATTATAAACCCATTTGTGGCTTTAAATCTGAAAGTAACAATGCAGAAGAAACAGTATGAATGTGCACTACTTGTTTCAAGTGGTCAACTCTATAAGCATTTCCATATGTTTGAAAGGGATAGTATATTAAAATAGCTACTACCACGTACAAAAGAAATACATTAAATTAGTAAAATACTTTACTGCTTCTGGGATCTCAAAGTTGGTTTACTTAGCCCATCTCCTCAGTTTAGTCTACTTGAGGAGACAATGAGGGAGAGAAAGGCTTTGATCCTCTTGCCACTAAGAATTCAAATCTGTATTATTGGCATTTGAGAGAGAAAAACTTTCTCTTCTTATTGATATATGTTTGTGATACATAATATTTACATTTGTTTTGGGAGAATTGGTACATATTTATATCATATCTTGATCATTTTTGATCCCTTTCCTCCCTTCTCTATCCTTCCCCTACTATCTGATCCCACTCCCCAACTACAAAACAGTCTGCCTCCCCGATTCCTACCATCTTTTCTTTATTCTTTAATTTATTCATATTTTGAGTTTCTCATAAGAGAAACCATGTGATGTTTAACGTTCTGTGTTGACTTATTTCACTTAACATTATGGGCTCAAGAGCCATCCATTTTCTTGTGAATGACATGAATTTACTGTTCTTATGGCTCAGTAAAACTCCATTTATATACGTACCATATTTTCTTTATCCATTTGTCTGTTGATTGGGATCTAGGTTGTTTCCAGAGCTTAGCTACTGTGAATTATGCTGCTATAAACATGGGCATGTATGTGTCACTAAAGTATGATGCTTTCAACTCTTTTGGGAATATGCTCAGAAGAGGAGAAACCCAGTGATGTGCATGTGCCTGTGTGCATGTTGGAGTGGGACTTGGGGGTGAAGAGAACCATAGGCAGGAACAGTCTTTTGGGAGGGAGAGGGGGAAGGGAGCTGTAGGTAGAACAGATACAGAACCGCCCCCTCCCAGATTATATGCAGATACCATAAGAAGTGGAGTGGTAGTCAGGGATACTCTTTTGTTTTTTGTTTTTTTTGGTACCAGGGATCAAACTCTGGTCCTTGAGCTTGTGCAGCAGGTGGCAAAACCATTGAGCTAAATCCCTGGGGCCCTAGGGCTACTCTTGATCTGCATGTTTAATGGTCAGTTAAAGAGTTAGATCTGGACTTAGAAAAGAGTTCTATATTGGAAAAATAGATAATGAGAGTTATTTATGGCCATAGCAGATATTACCTAGAGACTATGTTGAGAAGAGTAAGGTTGAGGATTGAATCTTAAGGAACACAACATTTGGGAGAAGGAGAAATAAATGAAATCCACTAATGGACAAAAAGGAGTGGCCAGAAAGGGTATGGGGGTGGTGTCATGGAAACCAAGGAAGGAGAAGTCACAAAGAGAGGACATCTACAAAAGATCATGACTGGAAGATTCCACTGGACCTGGAAAGCACAAGGATTAGCAGCCAGAACAAGGAGGGCAGTAGAGTTCATAATTTGAGACAAGAGACTTACTAAGAGAAACGCACGAAAACCAAGACATCATGGAAAACAAAGAGCAAAAAGCAAAAGCCGCCCTGCAATATCATAATACTCATTTTGAATATCTAGCCTTCCCTTGTGCACCTCTGTGCATGTCACCTCTGCTGCAATGGACAGCTTCCAATGAAGTGCTGGATCTGTTTCCCTACCTTTGTTAATATCACCATTCTTCAAGTCAGGTCTACAGCTATAATTAGTTAAGGGGGAGGTAAAGATGGACTAGGGTGGGCCCTAATTTCAATGACAAGGTCTGAAAGTCATCCCAGTGGTTTCTTCCTACAAGAAGAGAACACACAGGGAGACACAGAGAAGATAGAGATAAAGGTGGAGCTGGGCCTCCACAAGCCAGGGAATGCCTGGGAAACTAGAAGGTGGAAGAGGCAAGGAAGGATTCTTCCCTAGAGACTTTAGAGGAGCATGGTGAGTCAACACTTGGATTTCCGGCCTCCAGAACTGAAGGAAGTGAAAAAACTTTTGCTGTTTAAGGCACTAACCTTGGTAACTTGTTACAGCAGCCCAGGGAAGCCAATACAACAGTTGTAATATAAAGAACAAAACATTTAAACACATCAAAATTAAGTCTCTCTAAGCATTCACCTGGCTTCTAGTACTCATCTGGTTTCAGTTTAAGAAGCAATAATTAAGTGGATGTCACTGTTACAGCCTAACCCTTCTGTGCCTGGTGACCCCCTAGTAGTACTGCACTCATTGGTCAGAAGTCAGAATTTCCCCATGTGTTGAAGTTTTAAATATCAAATCTCTTGATATCTTCTTTAATAAAATATGGTTTTTGTGTCACAATAAGACATGTTACCTCCACTTCTAAGCTGATAAAATATTTATTACACTTTACCTTTTGATTTATTTTACTGCTTTTCTTCTATCATTATTATTAATTATTATTAGGGTGTGTGGGAGGCAATTGAGTCTAGGGCCTCACAAGTACTCCTTCACTGAGGTAAACCCCAGCCCTTCTAAAAATTTTATTTTGCAGGCTGAGGCTTTAGTTCATTGACACTGTGCCTGCCTT